TCATTATATACTGCATCTCATCCATGTCCTTCTCTGGTTGGCTGCCTTCCTTTCGCGCATGTTATTGGATCGCAGAGAGACACGGGATTGGCTGAGACCAGGTGGTCCAACATGTCTGCGCCCTAATCCGACGCCACACCACACCACATAACCCAACACGCTGCTCGATGTCGGTTTTGTCTTTCACGTCTGCGTTGCTTCTTTCTCGATGTAGGCTTGCCGAGTGCATGCTTAAGTCATTATCCAGACTGTCATCTTCATCCCCGTCACAATTACCTCGTTGGTTTAACTTGGTCCCAAAAAGTTGCCACCCATACATGGAGTTGGCACGGTTAGATAAGCCCATTGGAACATGGTTGGTTTATCTCCCTAGCACATGGAGCATCGCTCTTGCTGCCAACCCAGGATGCCTACCTGATTTCGGCATGCTTGCATTATTTGGGGTCGGCGCTTTGTTTATGCGTGGAGCGGGATGTACAATCAACGACATGATGGACCGCGACATTGACGCTGGTGTTTATCGAACGAAGGACCGTCCTATTGCAAGGGGGGCAGTGTCAATGCTCAATGCCCTAAAGTTCTTGGGCTTTCAGCTGTCCGGTGCCCTTTTGGTTCTCCTACAGCTAAACCCAGAAAGTATATTCATTGGATCTTGTTGTCTGGGTTTAGTTTTCACGTATCCACTCTTTAAGAGGTTTACTTACTGGCCGCAACTAATGTTAGGTATGTGTCGATTTTCGTTTAAGTGAATTTGTAGGCGCAACCCTTAACTGGGGAGCTTTACTAGGATATACTGCCGCGAATTCTTTTACATTTTCAATTTGTGTGCCGTTGTATTTGGCGGGTGTGTGTCAGACTGTACTTTACGACTCGATCTATTCATTCCAAGTGAGCTACCGATGGCATTCCACTAACGCTATGCAACTGTTATGCTTTGACGTATAGTTTACGCTTATCCCAATTTGTTGCGCGCTTTAGTTGTAGTTGCTGCTTAGTTCGGTGTGTTTTGCTTTTTAAGGAATTACCTTCAACTGGGGCATTTTGATTGGTTTTACGGCTATTACTGGTTCTTGTCCCCCTTCTATCTGCATCCCCTTGTATTTGTCTGCTATCTCGTGGTCACTCAATTACGACACTGTGTATGCACACCAGGTGTGTTTTGTTGTCCCACGGCTATCGGTGACTTGGCTTCAGACGCATCATCTTTCATTTCCCGTTGCAGGACATGAAATACGATAAGCAGCTAGGTATGAAATCAACCGCTATTTTGTTTGGTGATTCCACAAAGACGTGGCTCTATGGATTTGCGGCAAGCATGTGTACTTGCCTTGCTATCACGGGAATAACATCAAGTTCGGGATTGACCTATTTCGTAGGTACCGGACTCACGATGCTTCGGCTTGTTTATTTGGTATGTTCTTAATCAGCCTATTTTTGAGAGCGGGTATTATGCAATAAAAGTTCCCTGAAAGGCGAAAACAAGGTATTAGTTAATGATGGAGGAGCTCGACGCTTTAGTAATTTTATGTTTCGCTGTTGCAAGCCTCCTAAAGGTTGCCTTGCTTCGGTTAACATCATATCTTATCAAACCTGCCTCCCATTCCTTTGATCGCGCTTAAATTTATTATTGCAAGATTAGTTTGTGGGACTTGACTAGAGTACTGCCAGTACTGCTCAAGCGCCTTTTTCACGCCGACCCATATTTGCGCACAAACTATACAAGCTGTCACCGCTTTGGTGTTTTCGTACCTTTGTGGTAAACGAAACCAATTGCCTTTAACTGTTTTTCATACCCAATGCTGGCTAACATTTCCACGATATTTTTTTGCTTTAGATATGGAAGACGGACCTTCGTAATCCTCAGAGTTGCTTCTCATACTTTAAGTCGAATCGAGACATTGGCCTCCTCTTATTTGGTTCAATCGTACTTGATCGCTTCTTGCAGTCACCTGTTTGAAGGTCAATGGTTATGCTGTCTGACCCCGTCCAAAGTATGCATCGACGCTCAGGAAATCGCTCCCTAGGCTGTATTCTACTCTTATGTTGAAGCTTTGATAACCCATCTTTTTATTTTCACTTTCCCAAATTCGTATAAAATGTTACCCCGCAGAGTGTATAATCCGCAAATAGTGAGTTAATTTTTTACAGAAATACTTTTCTAAAATGCATTTTTTAAAACAACCTGTTTTGTTTTTATGGCTGTTGGTGTGCGAGGCATTTGACGTATTTCCTAGACGTCTTAGTACCAAATTTTATCAGAAGTGCAGTGCTGGGTTGGCTTGTTGGACATGACTCCTTTGTTGGACAAACATGGTGTTGTCCAGTGAATGCTCAAGAGGGCGGAGCATGTTCGAGCCGAAACTGAATTTTACGCCATTATCGTTCAAAGCAATGTATTTGCCACGCAGATGGGTATGTTTCTGGAGTCTTTGGCTGCTGATAGATATTCGTACGCTGCATTATAGGCCCGATTGCGGCGGAGCCGAAATATCGAGTACCATATCGATGATTGGAACTTTCGTGGTCAGCGGATGACCTTGCGAGACTGGTCCACAGTGGGCTGGTAAGACGGGAAGTTATTTCGTGGGTACCAATGTTAATGCAGCCTATGGTTACTGTTCCGAGCCTCCGTGCAATTGTACTTTTAGTCAACACATCAAAATATCAGTACCTTGAAACCTGCTACAACTTCGAATCTGCCCGATTTGGGCGTAGGAAACTCCACCACCGAGCCGAGTTAAACACGACAGTTCTTGATTAACCGAGTTTAGGGGATGTGCTGTACATCTGCATACCACGACGGCAGCTAAGTATTTTATGCTTGTACCACCGTTTCATTCGATGCTTGCCTAGCTACCTCCTCGAAGTCGCTGACGGACTAACGATGGGAGCTTTGGCTTAAAAGGTATTGGTCCGAACTCTGTTGGCCCCTTCTTGCCGTTCGCATTTTGAGTTATTAGTATTTTAAGTGGCAATATAATCACTCATGTAATAAATTTTGGTGTTTGAGAGTTAGAAGCTTCATTAATAGCTCAGTAAGGCAAAGCGCGTGTCAGATTAGAAATTGAAAAGTGATTTTGGACACATGGTTAGTCGGTGGTGGCTGGAATAGCTGGACTCGGTTAGTGTCTCGTCACTTACAGCTAGGGATCTGTTTCGTAACACCCTTACGGCTCTTTTGTCACATGTCAATTATTCGTTATGCTCTTACCAATGAAATAGCTCACAAGCAAACACAGAATCATCTGTGGATGCGGCTAAACGCGGTGTTCTGACATGACTCTCGTGTGGGGTTGCCAAAAAACCCCTTTTAGTTCTGCGATAAATCACAAAATGCCTGCGCGAAATCAAAGTCCTACTTTTAGCAGGTACAACTACAGTTTGAAATCCTTTGAGACGTTATTATGCCGCCACATTATTTCGCTGCATGCCCACTGTTACCAGTAAAAAATGCTGAACTTTGGAATCATAACAGAGAGTTAAAAATTACTCCTTCTACTCATTGCAGGAAGGGCCACCAGGGAAGCCACAATAAGAGGTCTTGTGGTATAAACTTGTCCAGGTTCCGATCGAGTGTTTGGGCTTTAATAGGCAAAACATTGGTCGCACTCCATGAATCTCCGCAGCTGTCGCATCTTCACGTTGCATTCATTTGTGTCAAAACAGTGGTGAATGTGGACGTCTGCCCTAAACTGACCGAATCCCTCAAACTATTTTACGCTAGAAGTGTGCTCGCAACCCATCAAAAGAGAGACAACTGCTGGGAAGCACTGAGGGAATCCACCCCACTCACACACTTGCCAACATTCGTCTAAGCGCCCCCGATTTATCTGGCATATGTGTGGACAGCGCGCACATGGCAATGTGAAGAGTTGGAAAGTTCCAGAGAAGAGGTCGATCGTCAAGCGCCGCTTTTATAGGCGGAATCATTAGCTCACAGTGATATTGATGGGGTATGATGTGTTAATTGGGGTTCAGGATAGTGACAAGACGAAAATACGTGTCCAAAGAAGTACACATATAGTCACGCAGAAAGTGTGCATTTCGCTTCGCCTTTCCAACTGCAATTATGAAACACACCCGAGACAGGCAAGATTTGCGTCAGGATAAACACATTGCAGCCTAGAAAAATAAAACCAATCAATAGGACAGACTAGCACAGAAAAGCGTGGATAACATCGAATACAATTTAATCGATTCTAAATCAATAATGTGCAGCACCATGCAGGAACTTGGTAGACATTACATGGAGGCGTCATCTTGGTCGCAGAAACTCTCAAAATTCAGCAAAAGTGTAGTTCGGTAAGTTATATAATCATGACCGAACTCCTGTTTTTTTCCTCTCAAGTGACGAATCCAAGAATAAATGGAGTTCGAAGTAAGGCATTTGTGCGTGGTCTTGTTATTACAAAGAAATCAATATTTCATGAACTCACTTATGAGCTCATTTAGGAATTTCAGTTGTCGCCCATATTGATTATGCTTGCGGCAGCTATTGCCTACCGAAGGCTTAATCAGTTTACACGTAAAGCACTTGTCCGGGAGTTTATTCATTTTTTTCTTCACCTTACCAAAATGATCAAGAGATATTCATATCTATTCAACAAACTAATCACATGTGTCACTTAAATGGTCTTGAATATGACAAAAAAGCAATAAAAACTGCTAATTAAATCCTGACTCACCCATGCGTTTCACCCCTAGAGGGAAGTAAAATACATCGATGTTAATGGTTTGTCAGATATTTCTACACTCGAAATAATTGCCTTGCTTAAACACACAAAGAGTTTTAGATTAGAAATAGGAAAATGTGTTAAATGAGAATAGAAGGTGGTAATCGATAAATAAACTGTGAGAAGGAAAAAGAAGGGGGAGGTTCTTGTGTCGTTTTGCCTTAAGTTTATTTCGTAGTGAATAGCAATTTGAAATTACACTAACTGGCAGCCTAGGTCACTTTGCACGCTTCGAAGTCAATAGAACGAGATTTCTCTTTTGGATAAACTTTATGGCGTTTGGCAGATTGTGCACTTTTAGGTTAACTATCACGTACGTTGTGAGTGGAGGCGGTTCGGGAAGGGGTTTATGAAAGTTGTTGCTGCTGGTGAGCCAGTAACTCGTCGTCGTGATGCCACATTCAAACTGAATTTCGCCCCGGTATTCTGTATTGAAGCCACCGATTTCATCCAAAATCTCCTTTATTTGCTGGCTAATGTGTATCCTAAAAGCTACGAGAGAAATAACAAATCATGCCTTTTCAAACATCACTGATCAGCCCTAAGAAAAGCAAATTTGCACCAACCAGCTCCGGAAGATTCCATTTTCAAGGCCTGATTGACGGTATCTCCGAAGAGGCAATAACGAGGCATCGTCAACCCCACCACGCCAGCAACACAAGGTCCTGGAAAAACGTAATGGTGAACACTCTAATTTCGTCGACATTAACCTCAAGATTGATTTCAGTGGTACATGTCAGATTTCTGTTGTTGGCAATCACTGATGATACTATTGGCCGGTTTTTTTAAAACACAGTGGACATCTAATTTAATTGCAACATTTCATGAAGCCTGAAATCTTGAAAACTAGTAGAAATAGATTCTGTGTCGTACTTTCGCCTCAGTATTAGGCCACTACTAGTAATACCAAAAGTGCAGGTATTATCTATTACGAAAAGTCGTCGTCTTCTCGAGACAAATTCCGAGATGCCTCCAAAAAGAAGATGCCGCCTAGTTTGAAATGGCATTAATCATGGAGAACACGACAAACCACTGTGAAGGCCGATTCTCAATCTCAGGGGGACATGAGGCAGGTGTTTGATTGCAAAAGTTCCACAGGTGCTGAGCAGGTCGAGAGCCATCGTGGCGACCTCGCCGGCGTGGCGTCTGCCATTTCGAACCGGCAGGCCGGAGGCCACCATGTAGGCGTCGCCAATCGTCTCCACCTTCAAGGAGCCAAGAGTCACGCTTATCAGAATCCTTTTTTAGGGGGAGTTAATCCATCAGAATTGAAATAAAACTTGCGGATATGATTTCTTGAATAGGCCAGTTGGTAAATTTAATTTGATTCTTTTTTTGTGTAATCCTTAAAAATGATCTCTTCTACTACTTGGCATCTTTGTTTTTCATAGTTGGGAGCCGAATTTTGGGGTTAGAGAGTTTAGTGAACCAGAGTTCGAGTTATTTCTTGTACCAAAGTATTGTAGTGAATCCTGCTGATTCACGTCCCCGCTCTAACCCGGTTGCCGTATCCTCCGCCACACTGCACCCCTTTTCACAGATTGTCCATCGCCCATGCACGACCACCGGCTCACACCCGTGCGCATGTACCCCCTGGCCAATCAGCCATTTGTACTTTCACAGGTTCACACAAACTGTATGAGTCAACAAACATAAGAGCCGTACACAGCTTTGAATGCACGCACACAACCCAACTTGACTAGAACATCGAACATACGCTTGTCTCTCTCGCTCATTTCTTACTTGGGTGCTTCCCGCTGTATCGTGCCGCAACAATTTTTTGGACGAAGATGAATGGATGGGTAGGCATGGTAGTGTGCGGTCAATTCAGAGGACTGTAGTCGGAAGAGAACCCACGAAAATCCCAACCGGAGGGTAGCACGGCAGCTTACCTCTTCAAAAGACTTCAAAAGCGCTCTAAACGGCCACCTTATTCTAATACCTTGCTTGCTAAAGTGCTTTAAGTGAATGTACCTCCTTCAATTAAGTTGCTATATCCTTTCAGAAATGACTTTTCTCCTGCTAAATAATCATCATTTGCTATATTCGCCCCAGTCCATGTCTGGTTTGAGCAAATCTTTCTTCATCACACAATGCTCACATGCCATGTAGTATCATTTAGGTAACTCACTGCTTCAAAATCAATTTAATGACCTTTAGTGAATCGTGTTGATTCACGTTAGACACCCCGGTCGTCGCAGCCTCACACACGCACGTCCCCTCTGCTCACGACCGGCCCGTTAGTCACGTGAGGCCGCTGGTTCATTAACCACTCTGCATGTCCCACCACCACCCGCTTTAGTCATGCGTCCTCACAGACACCTGTGTTTATTTTTGCACATGTCCACTCAACCGTAATTGTACACGACACAACTTGGTTGAGCTCTCTAGTAAAACGGTTGTGCCCTCTCCAATTCGGTCTTCTTTATTTTCGCGGGAACACAGGGTAACGTATTCGGCGTAGACCGTCGCAGTGGCCCCGGCGTGGGTCAAGACAACATGCCGGGGCCCTCAACAGACCATTATTCAGCGACCCGGGAAAACAGCAATGTTTTTAGTTACCAAGACGGAAGTTATTCCTTCACAAAGTGGATTTTCATTAAAAAATCGAAATCTTTTTAATGTACAACTGCAACAAAAGCATATGTAATTTCAGGCGGATTATTTCCTTCATGTAAACATCCGAATTCTCGGATGCTTCGATTCAGAAGTTTTAAAATCCATAATAGACAGTAAGGAATAACTGGTAATGAGGACATCAGGTTTCCTCCTTAAAATTACCTTATAGACTTCATAATTTTCAATGGTCTTGTCAAAAAGTGTGTAGAGGTCGTTCAGAAGGTCAACAACCTGCAGTGGTGTGGACATCGCGGAGATGGTTGTGAAGCCGACAATATCACTAAAGTAGATGGAGACCTCGTTGTAGGTCTCTGGCGCTACCGCCACTCCCGCCTTGAGTGCGTCTGCAACCACTCTGAAAGGTGTCATAAAAGTCAGATAGGTGGGCAGGCTGAACTACCAGTGAGGCAAGACTGTTTATAATCACTGGCCCCAGTTTGGTGCGTTCACGTGTCCCACTTCACTGGGCATGAATCAGTAGTTAGCTATGGACAATTGGTGAACTTTTGGATTACGCGCCTTGTGCTGTTTTAGTTGACGGCGCTCTGGGCTTTCGACTTAGGCTTCCTCGTATCAGGTCGTTGTTAAACACACAAATTACCAAATCCACTTTGTGTAGGTTTTAATTGGGACGGTAAAAGTTATCGTTATAATACCTGGGGTGATTTTGAGGTTCGGAATATCCAATAACTCTAACGACTAAAGAAATGTTACAAGCTGTTGTCGTAAACACTGAGATCAGATTGGATGCGATTTCCAACGCGTCCATGAGCAAAGGTAAAGATGCGCAATGCAAAGAACTTACGGGGGCAGCATGCGACAAATAAGTAGCTCTTTCTTTTTCTTCTCATTTTCTAGCTCCTCCGTCCGAACCTTGACCTGTTCCTCCAGCTGAGTGGAATATTTCTCCATCACTTTAAACATGTGTTCCATGATATTTGTTTTCCTTAAGCGATAAATACAGCCAACAAAACGGCGACTTACTTGCCCTTGGTTAGTTGTTGGATTTGCTCGTCTAATTCCCTAAAGGTAGGGCGAAGGCCAGGGTTCTCGAGCCATGACCTCTCAAGAATTTGCCTATACACAGGCGGTATGCCTGATGCCTTTAACTAAATGTGAAAGTACTACTTAAATTCATCCGCGTCATTGTAATTTTTGCATCAGGGGAAAAATAATGTCAACTTGATCAAAAGGAAGTTGGGAAATTAGTTAAGTAAACCATGGCACTACTACTGCTACCACCACCACCACCACTCACCTTTGGTCGAAAAAGAGGCTGCTCGGCCGACATAACTCGGTCGAGTATCCATTCCGCCGGGGTATCGTGCAGACCATAGGGCAATGTCTCGTAGAAGACTTCATGCATAATTATCGCAAAGGAATAGACATCTCCAGGTTTAGTCCCAAATGTGGCTAAGCATTCGTTCCTTAACAGTTCTGGAGCCGTCCACAGCTTGTCTAGACCAAAAAGGACAATTAATCATGAAGCGAGTTATCACCTTCTTCCAAACCGAAACTTCTAATCTATTGTGATGATCCAAAAAAAGCAGAACCAATAGAAGTTTTGTTTTCTATCAACGGTGCTTGACATGTAAGATGTACTGAATGCTATCCAATCGAGTAGTGCTGTTTTCTCACCTTCAGGCCTGGTCACTGGATGAATGTCTGTTAGTGTGTAAATGTTTGGAATGCCAAAATCGGTAATTTTGAGTACCCAACGGCCACTAACAAGGCAGTTCGTTGACTTGAGCCTTCCATGAGCTTTGAGGCAGGTACTGTGCAGGAATTCCATACCCTAAAATACCAGTTAAATTTAGCTAGAAATGTTTTAGAAAAATACTGAATTGGTGTGGAAAAAGCAGGCTTACCCTGATGAAGTCCGTCAGCAGTGAAAATTTAAAATCCCAGTCCAAGATTATGCCTTTGTTATTTATAACATCCTGGTTTAGCAGGAGAAAAAAAAGAGAGGATGTGGACAATGTTAGACGCATGCAACAATGCTAAACACGTGGTGATGGAAAAGCGCTAATGCTGGAACAGCCTTGAGCAGGGATACTCACCTGAAGACAGCCTCGTTGGCAGTGCTCGAAGATGAGACTGAACGAGTCTGGTGTCATGTAGCATCCGACGAAGGCGTTAATGTTTTCGTGTCTGATCTCTCTCAGTCCCGCTAGGTACTTAAGGAGCTTGGAGCGCAGTGATATGTGGGGCAGGGAAAGCTTTTTAATGAAGACTGCCTCACCCTGCGAAATGAATGGGGTGGTGACATTTGGCGAAACTGTCGAATCACGTGAGAGAAAACACGACCCCTTAACATTACCATGGTTATGCAGCTAGGTAATGGTGAACAATCCTAATTTTGTAAACTCACAACTGAAAACAGCAAGTCACCAAGTGTCGATGTAACCAGGATTTTGTCTATGAAGCAACCAATACGAGTCAATATTGATACCGATTTTATTAAATTTAACTGATAATGTCGAGGATTTTCTAAGCTCATGGTTATAGTCATCTACCGTTTTAAATTACACCACAATATGGACAGCATACCCCGCAACATCCATTGATAATTGTGGTAGAAGTATATGGCCTACTTACATTTGGGTTTTGCTCGCAGTTGACGCATTTTGACTTGTTTCTTGCATGCGAAATCTACGAGCAGAATGTTCCTAAGGTGTTGAACCATTGGATGCTGCCTGTCAGGCTCTATTTTGGAGTTTTGAAGAGAAGAACTACTAGATCGTGAAAACTTCGGCAAAACACCTCTTCTTATCCGTGGTAAGCGAATGCTTCACTTTATCAGAACAGACGATACATATTCTTGCATTAACTGGCAGCATTTTGAGATTATGTGCCCCGAATGTATTCACTGGTGGAAAACGGTAAGTTGGTTTGAGTAGGACATCACAGGGACTGTTTAGTCTTGGGCTATTTTTTGTGCAAACCAATGTTAACGACAGTATTTTAAAATTTTCTCATTGGCATATTCGTTAGCAGTAAAATCGGATCTTACATTCAGACAGGCTAGGTTTCTTCCGGCTGAAGACCTGGTGGTGTCTGTGTGCCTGTTGGGGGTTGAACTAGACATAATCGATTGGAATGAAGCATAGGGACCCAAATTGGACACCCCTGAGACCTGTAAATGCAGATCCTTGTGAGACTAAATGTGGTACAAAATCGATGATTGCAATGTAAAATGTTTATTCGTGTAATGCATTACGCCACACCGTTTACTGATCGGTCATTTCTTAGTAAACTAACAGTGACCATTGTGCAAAGAATAGGTTTTGACAAAGCCTTACAACACGATTTGTTGAGGAGTTCAAGTTTTCTTCGATATTCTTGAAAACCAGGTCCGTTTCGCAAAATACGAGCTTGATAGAGTTGAGACGTTTGGCCTTTTTCAGTGTGCGTCTAAAGACGGATTAAAATATGGTGCATGCGTCCCAAACTTACCGATAAATGCATACAATAGTGAGGTAGAAAGTCGCGGAAATTAGGAAGCCAAGTGCGCTTATTTGAATGACTATTTGTGCGGCTTCTAAAAAAATTTGAAAACGCAACTCGTGAAGGGAAATGCATTAAAATGGGTGATAGAAACAAGGGATTAACTAGAGCAATCGATCTGACTGACATGACAAGGAGAAGTGGAGATAGTTGTGGCGTAGTCCAAGTTTCTGGCAAATCACGCTAAGTACTCCTTTCAAATATTTTAATCTACTGATTTTAGGCTGTTAATTGTTTCCACTTCAAGTGAATACCAAGGAAAAAGCAAACGCACCAATTCCACACGAGGACTCGAAGCATGGAGTTCGGTGAGGTCCCGCACCGTCTCCTGGCCAGTTCATTTGTTTCAATACTTGAGCTAGTATAATTGGGCTTCGCATAATCTCGATCAACTGAAAAATGTCCGCATAGCTGGCGCGATTCATGTCCAGCCCACGCATTTGAGTTACAGTGGGTTTGATTGAAAACAAGAGCATGTCAAACACGCTCAGTATTCCTTCGTCACCCTGAAAGCCGTATTGAAATGTAATAGAAGGCAGCGTGGGCACTGTTATCCTTCCCTGCGTCTTTATTGGCATAAAAAGGCCTCTAGAAGGCTTAATAATTCCCCCTCCCTCCTCGAGATGGATTTGGACTAGTCTCGTTGCAAGGGCTGCAGAGCTGGCCACAGCAAGGTTTATTTTCTGCAAAAGAGAAGGGCTCAATGAAGTGATGGGCACTACTGATTGACCAAGCATATAAAAATGGACTTTTGTGGGTTAAATATTTCTCATCATGCGCCTTGACTTCAAAAGATGAGCTTGGTGACTAAAACACACTTATAAAGTCCTCTTCGATGGCGTGGCAGGAAGCAATCACCGAAGGCAGTTTCCGACGAGGGAATTTGAAAGCTATGACTACATTTGGGTTGCTCCTTCGACTAGAAACGATTGATATCTTCGCTGAGGCTTCGGAATGTGCTTGGAACCACGCTAGTGGCCCCAGTTTGTGTGGATTCGACAACAATGCCCAGATACCAAAGGGGTTATGAAGACCGGAGATGGCGGGGATTAAACCTAGTTGTATTTGTGTTGCGTTAATGGGCAAAAGAAGTCCTGTGTGACCAATGGGGGCTGTTGACAGTTCGGCTGAACTAGTCCAATTTTCAAGTACCTGAATGGTCAGGTTAGTGATCTGAGTAGCAGGAATGTGTGAACGGAGGGTTTTATATGAGTGTGCAGTGACGCTGTGAGAATGAGACCCCCGTGGGGAATCAAAACGATTGATTGTGGTTTATCCACGGAGCAATCCAGAGGTTTTCCGGAAAAACGCTCTAATTCCAATCGAGGTCATTCAAAGCCGGTCATAAATATGGGTAATAAGTCTAGTTTCTAAGTGAGGGCAGTGGAGAAAATTTTATGGTCAGGTTAATGGCATGAGCTGTTAGCTTAAATCCACTTAAGTCATAAATCGAAGTAATGAAGGTAGTTCCTACGTGACAGCTGCAAGATGCAGAAATGCGATTGGCAATTGACACTACGTTTAAAAAAAAAACACAGAAAAACGACAGGCGACTGCTTTTCCCAAATTTTAAATAACTTGTCCCTATTTGTTTTTGTTTAGGGTCTCCAAAGTATCGCGTCTGGTTGGGTTGTCATTTGTTTTGCTGAACCACATAAAAATTGGAGGCTGAAAGTAATTTGAAATTTTACTTCCCATAAATTTTGTTTTAATTTATTGGCATTAGTGCGAAAGAGGGCAAATTAAGTAAGCTAAAGTCAGAGAAAGGTTGCTGTTTCAGCAGATGCAAGATGGTTTAACCATCTGGAAAACACTAAACTGTTAAAAAGGCGTTGTTTAGACACATGAAGAAACTGTTGTGTTAATTAATGTAAAATCTTGTAGGGTTTTCCAGTTTTCAGAACATGAATACTCGTTAATTATACGAAAACTGAGCGAGCTTTCTTTAAATGTACTGGACATTTTTTTACTATTAGGAGGAGATGTCTGTTGAAATTGCGGACGAAACCAGGTCGAATTTTCCGTGTAGAAAAGTTTAGTCGTTGTTGGACTTCCTATTATAAGGTTACCGAATAGCTGGAGTTACACCAGATGAGGCTAGTACTGTCTGTTGTCATGAGCTCAGTGTACATTAAGAGTAAAGTGGAAATAAAGAGGATAAACGGCCAAGCTGTACCTCTTTAAACACAATGGAGTTGTCATCATAGACTGAACCGGTCGGAAGTGCTGACAAAATGACCAACGACTGGCCCGCGGCTCCGGTGGGCACTGCGGTGGAAAGGAAATAACGCCAGGTGCGTAGCACATCGTAAGTGAAGCTATCCAAGGGATCGACATGGACTATGGCTATTCGACCTTGGAGAATCCTGCTCAGGTTTTGCACTTCAACGACAAACTTCATGGCCAGTGCCGGTCCACTAATCAGAATGACAGCTAAAAGTTAAGAAAAGTATTCTCAACAGTTTTCTTCCGTGTCATGTTGCGTAATGAAACGCGTTGGGAAAACCTGAAACCCATCAGCCAAGAATCGTCCCTGAAATTGAATTTTTTTATTAGAACCAGCTTATATTTGGTTGGTAGTGCCTCTGAATTAACCTCACAAGATTGCAAAACTGGTTTGGTCTTGATACAGGGAATTAGCGTTCGTGTGCATTCCATGTGATTTCCCACTTCAAACTCGAAATGCATATGCATTTTACTCAAATCCTACCTTTCGATTATCATTCTTATTGTTCGAGCATTATGAAAAAACACAGTCACCATGCATCGGGGGATAATATAATATAAAAATAGCACTAACCATCGATTTTGTATTGTATTGGATCTAGCAACCGCGTAAAGTTCATTCCACTACTAATGATTCTACTATCTACCATCTCGTAAACGTGCTTGCTGTTTCGGGACATCATTAGCGTCCGTAGAACAGATTCCAGCATATCCGAAATGTCAAGCTGAGTACAGTCCACTTCGTAAAACAGGGCCACTCGCCTCCATCCCCTGTTAAGTAGGTAAACAAGGATACCTTGAAGTAGTGTTTTACGGTGAACCACCACAGAAACACCTGCTATTGCCGGTTCACTTGACCAACCATTGACGTCGGTGGGCTTGTTAACAAAGACCGAAGCGTATCCTACTATGTGGCAGTAGTTTGAGATCTGGTATAATTGGGCACGTAAAGGCTGCTTTGGTTCTCCCAGTCTGATCCATTCGCTGACGAGGTTGCAGTCTCCAACTAATGGAGGCCCCAGCAAAACGCTATATCCCAGGGCATCTGCAGAGTCTACCTGAAATATAAAACGCTTTATACCACACAGTGCATGCCAGCGTTTACAATAAGGATGTCGAATTAAAAGAGGGTTGCTTATAAACATTGAAGTTGGCTAATCGTGGGCTACCGACCGGAATGTGCTCCGTTTTGCTTAGGGGAAGAAGCATCTGTGGAATACTGTGCGCCTTAGAGGATGTCAACTAATTTCGTGGACACGACCCGGTCTGCAAACTCAGGCAGTCTGAGGACACCATAGAGAGATTGTTAAGCTACTTGTAAAATTTGGAGAAGGTACATATGTACTTTCAAGGATGATGATATAGTGGGAAGCGAGAAAACGGCTGATGTATCCGAGAAGCTAATATATGGCGTTTTTAAAGTAGAACTATAGTCTTAAGGGCTCTTACAGTGATAAAATGGGATTTACCTGCATAAATTGAAGCGCGTCAAATAATCGACTGGCTCTGGACGACTCCTGCATTGTACATCCAGACACTGGCAGTACTTTTACGATAACGTAGAAGAAGGTGTCGTTAGTTAATACAGTTTCACGAACATAGTTAATGGTAGCTGCGAGGCTGTGGGTAAAATTGAACAACGATTGTTCCTGAAAACACGTTTGATCCATAGCGATGGTGTAAAGTGTGAGGAGGTCCCTTGGATCCTGTGCAAGCTCTTCGAGACTACCTGAAATCATACAAGCAAACAACAAGGGGATGGACAGCATTTCGGGAGCTCACAGCAAAAATGTGGTAAGTCCACTTTTGGGAATTTCAATAACCTGTGTTGACGCCCATCGCGAGCGCGAAGTCCATTGGTTTGGGCATTATGCGAAAGTGGGTGTTTGCGTGACGGCGGCTTGGAAGTCTAATGGCATTTATCTAAACTCGGGATGTTTAAGCAAATGAGGTTTTTTGCTTACCAGAAAGCCAACAAGTCCCAATGCCCAAGGCTGTGGATAACGGCGTAACGCATGACGAAATTAATTTCTGCATTAAGTAAAAAGGCATAATTCGGAAGTTTTCAAAGGGTAAAATATTACATGGATGGTACAAATTATGCAATTTAAATAGCACAAGAAATAAGCAGCAACGTACCTAACCTGCCTTTTCTGCAAAAACAAGGGATTGATCTACATTCTACGGTAGTACGGAAGCCTCATATCCTTCAAATATCTTGATTTGACTAGTCTGTGATGCGATCAACGGCCGGAAAGTGGTCTGAACATGTTCACCTTAAGAGGGCTGATATCCATCACTCACCCTGACCTGATATTCACATCTGGGCAAAAGTGCATTGTGTTAGCACTCACCCACACCCACAAACACATCTTATTCCTTCGGGTGAGCGAGTGGCTCTGCTTGTCATCGCCTGCCTCCCAGTATTTAAGGGGCACTGGTAGGGCAGTAGGGTTATGAGGTGGTACAATAACACGACATTTGGAAACGCTGTCTGAATTTCTCACAACTCTTTCAGGTGTTTCAGTCAATAGACCCTGTGACAAAACTTTTCCTTCGGAAAATGGCATTTCCGTCAAGTTTTTGGCCTTACACCTCCAACTCCGAGTATGGCATCAGCAAATTGAGGCACGATAATTACCAAAGGAGACGCGAATTACAAGTCATCTAACTTGATGTAGTACTAACAATGTAAATCCTTTGAGCGCCACATGGAATTTCCTCGCTTTTAACGTGACTACCGATCAGGGACATAAAAGGGTAGATGGCTAATAGTTAGAATTTGGAAAAAAACGCTTGGAACTTAAAAGGCTTAAAAACGAATTACCTGATAGAAAATCGTCAGTCGATGTCGAGTATAACCCGACAAAGTTACCGAATTTTGAAACGAAGAACTTCAACGATAATCAAAAATTATATGTGTTTCGTTCTTCTGCTGAGTGTAGTACAAATGACAGCCCAACTTGCCTACTGTACTTGTTGCAGTGTTGTCAGGGAAAGGCACTGGAAACTGCAGGGTACTACTGAACTTAATTCGATGAAGAAATTGGCTATAAATTTGGAAAAGAAATTCTGCAAAAAAAGGAGATTCGGACGAAACTTGACGACAGCCACAGCCTTTTCGGATAACTGCTTTATAGACAGGCCCTGGAAACTGATAATGCCTCAGCCTTGCTAATGCTAAGCCATCAAATGCAAAAGTGTAAAGCTAATCCAACCTAGGTAAACAGAATTTCCGAACTAAATCGGCATAGAAATTTTAAGGTGGTCATGAAGAGACTTCCAATTACACTGCAGTTTAAATAGGCTAAGATGAAACGAAAAATTTCGCTCCAGTGTTTCAGCACGATTCGTGGGAGAAATTACTAGTAATGCCAGTTCCATGTTTGCTGAAATAAGGATCAACTCAATGTGAGAGCAGGCAAACAAGATGGCAACAGAAAGTGCACACACAGAACACTGGTAATTAGAACCAACGTGATCACTGCCGCCTCTAAGGGAACGGTCGCTATACAGACAGATGTACAAATTGCCCTTTTCATAGCATGAAGAAATAGCGGCCTGTAACTCAAGACCTAAAGCCTTGTCCGCGCTGTTTGAAGGTTAGTCAGTTTGCTTAGGACTGCTATTCACCACGCGTTTGCGCTACTTATGGTTGAAGAGGACTGCATCGTGCCCTGCGACATCTCTGGTGGTGATCGTACATCTTAACCAGATATTATGTATGAATACATCTGCTGTTCCCGAATTGGCGTGCCAGGAAATGATCCGAATATGCCCCGCCATCAAAACCAATAGTCAAGGATTGTGAAAAAAAATGAATCAAAATCTTTGCCCGTTGGAGGCATCGAGTCCTGTTGAATAAAGAATCAGGGTCTGAGTAAGTTCGACAAGCCTTATGTTATTTAAAACGCACTTGTCAAGGCAAATATCGTAGACCCGGAGAAAACCTTAGGGGGTCCTGCCACCAGGACTCTACCGTCCAGGCTCCTGAAACAGTGTCATCAAGAATCCCCATGAAAAATTGGCTAGCTTACAAAGATATTTATAAAAGGGTAATGGCAGAAGACCGTTTTGTGTATAAAGTTACCGAGGCCGTGTTTTGATCACCTTCAGAAGAAATGGATGGAAATCATAAGTTTTACAAAACTTCTGATAGGTGGCACTTTATGCATTTTGGGAAGCGATGGAAACTAGAGGATAGAAGTTGGACGACCTCTTCTGAAAAGCAGGTACGCTAAAGAAGTACCAGCTAGTAATTTAAATTATTACTGGTCATTTCATCGCATTGTCAAGGTATTGCTTTAGTGTAAGACAGACAGGTGAAATCACAGAAAAGCTGTCGAGTTTGGACCTTCCCCTCCCCCATCCAGTCCCCTTAAATCCTTAACTTTGTTCACCTTTCGCTGTTTGCCGATGCCCATATTGGTCGAGGAATGGTTACCTTTACAATGTAATTCTTGATTGATCTGTTGTTTTAATTTTTATTCTGTCTGAGCGCCACACTCAATCTACTTACAGGACTAGCGAAACGGAGCAACACCAAAACCACGAACACTTTTAGAATCATCTGAATTGTCCGCTCGACTTGTTAAGCTAGGATGCTGCAATAATTTCCCATGCTACTCCACCAAACGCTCTAGCCTTGAAATTCTCCCTCGTTTTTCCCTCGTCGGGTTATCCAGCACGATCTAGCTTTCGAGACTATAATTTCATCATTGTATGCAACTCGTCTATTTCTAGAAGAAATGGTTATTGTATTGAGATAATTGTGAAGTGAACAACACGAATTTACTGTACATTCTGCTCCACATCGTCGTTTGTTCCTCTTTTATTGATACAGATAAAGGAAACTTCCTGTTCCCCTAGTGATTTCAAAATTAAGTGCGTAACCTTAATGAGAATCGCAAACCAAACACTCAGATGCGAAATCGCACCCACTCGTGTTGAAACTGCGGCAACTTGTAGAAAGCACGCCGGAGGACTTGATGGCCAAGAAAACCCTGCAAATGCAGATTTCTTATTCTGCATTTCGATCGCCTCCTCCTACTCGATAACGACTGGTATCCACCTTAGTATTCGCATACCTTATTTTAAGTGAAGTGCTAATCTGAACTACATTTCAGTATGGGCCATGGGCCTTGCTCCATCTCTTTCACGCATGCAGCATTGAATGCCAAACACCTTTTGTGGAAAAACGTGTGAATTCGCGCTTCGAAATAAGTAAGGCAAAACCACTATTTGAGCTAATAATAGCTACCACATTAAGCCACCGGCAGGCTTGAATGGTCAACCCACATTTGCAGACCAAGCTGTCTGGATGTACATTTGTTGGCAAATGAAATGAGCGTAAGTCGTGGGAGCTGTTTCAGAGGTAGTGAGGATGTTCCCGATATTTACACGACTGGCCACACTTAGACGCGGATTGCAAGAACTAGAGATCATTGAATCCGGGGACACATCATCGTCTTATCGGCAGCCGTCTTTAGCTAAATCTTTATTCCTGAGGTATAAACCGTAAGAGGGGTAGTGATGGGAGCAGACTTCCAGGTTCCGTGTTATATCACCCTGTGTTCTTCCAGATGTAAAGTTTTGACCTAAAAGGTATAACGAGTGTCATATTAAGTGTACTTCCGAAGCTTTACTTTGTGTGAACAAAACGCATCTGACTCTCAATTTCACTTGGACGCAAAACCTAATGCATGGCTGAGTGTGGAGCACGATATTTATTGAGCCCAAAAACAAAGAAGGGAAAAAGGCACTAATGTATAAAGATCAACTTTTTAGTTCATAGCACCAGAGAAATTGACGTCCAAAAGCAGTGGAAGACTAGATCTACACTTTTAAATATCTGTTAGAATTCAATAAAAAAAACTCAGATCTTCAACACAACAATACAAATTTTTAACGAAATATTCAAGTCATAAAGAATTACCACCATAAAAGAGTAGAATCTGGTTATACTTATACTCATGTTCCATAGTAAAATAACCATTATCGGTTTTAGTAATTGGAAGTCGTGCCCGTAAAATAACACCGCACCTGCGATTGTTGACATATAAAGATTCGTAGGGAAACGAGCTTAGAGACTGGTAAAATAATGTAAGACTGTGCTTAATAATCTATAAATCAAGAAAAGCCCCTTACCGTGTACATGACCAGCGTAATTAGCAATTATACCATTGTTTCGATAAAGTCGGAATGAATTCGGTTTTTCATCCATATCAACAACTTCAGGGATAAACCGGTCATTTTCTCTGAAAGTTCCAAATATTTAGCATCAATACAATATCATTCGAGAGAATTCCTTACATAATAGCGGGTTTACTTTAGATTATTGAGGGGGCTTGGCGTAAACGTAAAACACTTTCAATATTTGACACTGTTTTATTTGAATTAACATGATGGGGAGGCTTTTTTGTTGAAGCGGCATGTCCCAGAAAATGTAGCAATCACAACAAACGAGAACAACCCCATGATATTTCAGAAATTTCCCGGTCAGCAACTACAAAACTTACGGCTTAAGAGGTTCCACAGGGAGCTTGAGTCGACCAAAATGATTCGTAACTTCTGCACGGAATACCGATAAACTTTTTTTAACACCCTCTTGGTAAGTACACCCAAATGATAAGTTGGACGCAATTGCTTTGGGAATGTGACCAGCATAACCAGTAGTTGGAGGGTCAGTAGGACCTTTCGGTTTACAGCTTGAATCACTTTTATTAAGGTAATCATCAACCCATAAATTTAAATGATTGCGAACACGTGGATCATCTGATATTGGTTTGAGCCTTGGAAAACGTCCACTTTGTTCGCACAATTTTTTCTGGTCTTCCTCATGAGTGTTGTAATTTGTGACGAACTCATCAATGCATTCATCGGCCAGATGTGAAAATGTGCTGCCGTACTTTATTGACATTTTTGGAAGATGGCCTGGCAATTATATAAAAAAGTTTGTTGTGCATTTACCTGAATAACCAGGAATCATACCCTCTGTGTAACGATTATCGGCATTTGATATAGGAATCCGATCACGTGGTATTTCGTCTTTGAACACTTTTGGTGTAGCTGAAATTTTACCGCTTCCAATGCGAGGGTTTACAGTAACTTTTTCCTAAACAATACAATTTAACGCCAATAAACATACAGACGTGACTGGGCCGTTGTAATAAGGCAAACGCTAGATGAAAAAAATTATCGCATTGCTATTTCTTACAGCAGAAATAAGAGCTGTCTGGCGCCCAAATGTATTTCCATGACTATATTTATACTGGGGTATATTTCCCATGTATCTAACAAGTTATCAGAAAATCGTTAAGTTACCCTGGGACATGGCTTCCCGGTAACAAGTTACAGAATTCTTTTCGCTGCTCAACAGTTGCTCCCCCACCATACTCGATTGCTGTCATTTCGGGAGACCTTGAAAATTATATTTTGGCAGTAATGTTTTTATGGTTATCGTTAACGTCTGAAAAATTCAAACAACGTAAAATCGAGGATATAAAAAACAACATTTTCTAACGTCATATTTGCCATCACGATGCTGAGACTAAGATAATATATTTTGAATTAAATAATTTTGGGTAGTTATGCCGTGGATTAACTGAATTTCAAAATTCAAGTGTGTTAAAATCATGCAAACCTGAACATAGCGAAATGCTAGTAGACTCGTTAGTGTAGATTCTTGTCAAAACCTTTTTAGGTGTAGGTGAATGATAGTTTTCACTCACGCTGACGTCCGTCCACATGTATTCAAAACTTAATGTACATTCACAAATTATCGTTTAATGCATAATGATAGATTTAACTTCTTTTACACCTCAGCGTATCACCCTGCCATCCCCATCTTTGTCCTTTATTTCTATGGGTGTTGACAAGTTGATGGTTTGTGATTAGCGTTCTGGGAATTAGATAAGTGAATATGGTTATCATTCCACAGCTTAATTTTTTCTTTCACTCCCTGATTTCGACATGCATGCACTGATATGCGGCTCAGGGCGTGTGGATTGTTTCACGGGAATATGGCATAATATTAACTGATGCATTCCTGTTATATTTACAGGCTACAATATTTGTTTATTTACCTATGGGATGGATACACAAGTGTATATTAACACTAAATGGCATGAAATGCGTCCATAGGAGCTCGTGAATGTTTTCCTACCTATCTTACATATTCAAATTCACATTCGGGAAATTTTCGTGTGTTAGTTTTTTTCCTTAATTTTAATATTGCATCGGCATTTTCACAATGTTGTGTATGTTTTAATGTTTTACGCATTATATGCCTTTGAAATAAATTGAGACACTGAGCAAAGTGAATCGAGGCTGCTCTGTGGACTATTAGAAAGTGTAAATTTCCGACACGTCGGGTCATGTGTCGACGGAAATGACGGAACAAAATCATCTTGATTAGGCTCATGCTAGCCATAACAAAACGGCAGTCATGGCACGGACATATCAAACCACCTCAATACTTTTGAAAAAATAATCATGATTTGTTTGGTATATTGTTGCTGATGCATTTCAAATGTTAAATGAACTACGTAAATGCCGTCGATGCCAACAAACCCTTGCAGTTAAAATTTCATACTCTCTAATAAAACTACCCCGTTATCAACTTTTAGGATTAAGATATGCATGCACTCATGTCTGTCATCATTAAAACCCAGTTAGGCTTGTGACTTATGACTAGGAATACAAAAACTTTAACCTGGTATTTGATCAAGTCAAATCTCTCATATGCGGATTTCCTCTTACTTTTCGGCATCCCAACAAAACATGAGCACACCTCTCGTCTGTATTTGTGATGCATCCTGCCTAAAAAATTTTTACAGTGCATACGCCAGTTGATCACGTCAGCCACCAGTTTCAGAACCCTTAATATAGGTCTCGAATCCTTCAGTTGTTGGATCCCGGTTACGCATGACGGATACCCGAAAAAGTTTAAATAACTGAAGAAGGCGGAATCAATCCTGCACTGTCCAGCTTAGGTCTGTTCTTTCACGCTGGTGTAAGTTAGAGAATACTCATAAAGCTGGTTATTTGTACTCATCGTTAAACGTGGCGACGCAAGCAACGGGGTTAAACAAGGTTAAAGGACTGAATGGACACGCAGATTACTGAAGGGGGTACATTCTAAAGGTTTCTGAACACGTCTGAAGATAAATAATGTTCTCAAATTCACTATATGCTAATTTAAGGCACTTCTGTAACAAATTAAATGCACCAAAACTCTCATACTTAAAGTACAAATAATTTTAAAACTAAGCCAAGTAATTCAAAATTACGATAGCTGATGAGTGGCTATCGGCTCAAGTTGAAATCTGTTCAAATTTCTATTTATCAATTTAAAAGTATGTGCCTAGGTGCATACTTGAAGTAGCTCAGGGTAAGTGATAGACTTAACGTCTATTTTCAGTAAGAAGTTAATTGGTTCACGAAGACCCAAACCCCCACGCACAACCTAAACGTCAATCTGGTACACTTGCATGCCTTTTAACACATGTCAATCACCGTTTATCCCACGATGCATCTGATCTGAGCAAACCTCCACCCCTGGGTAAACGAACTCTACGTGAGATCAAGACGAGAAGCTCAATAACAAATCAGGGCTGTTTGCAAATGTCGCAACCCAATATACTATGATCCGAGCCGTAAAAATAAAAATGCGACGATTCATTTATTAAGTGCATTTGGAGTACAGAAGCTTGATTTTTTTAAAAAAAACGTGAACGCAAATAAAAATAATCCCTGAGACACACACATTGTGGAAATGGAAAGTGATATTCAATAGGTGGTATCCCTGAGGTACGACGCATGAAAACGTGTTATTGATGAGTCTGGAGACAAGGTCTTAAGCGGGGAACTTTTTGACCTTTTTCACTTGCGGTGGAGGCGGCACGCGCAAGCGGCCTCGCAGTTCTTCGATATCCATAGACCAATAGCGTTCCCAGTAAACAAAAAGAAGATTACGCGAGTGCCTTCCGACGGCGATTGCGTACGGCAGATGCGTTGAAAGGTAATTCCTCGTCTGGCTAAAAGGCCCAACGGAAGACAAAGGACGTGTGTTGTCAACATGAGACAATCATTAAAGGCCAAATTGAAGGCGACTAACACCGGCCAACGCGACATGAGAATGAGTAGGGCAGGCTTGAGATGCGACCACAACATTGGCCTAGCTCGATTCGGGTGAAAATATACCCTGGTCGTACAGGCACGCTAATATTTGTCACAAGAAAATTAATGCGGATGTTTTATACTGTTTCAAAGCAAAAAACTGGATCGCGCAAGCTCCAAACTGCATTTTGCGCACGGTGCCACAAAGGGGGTGGCGACGTAGCAAAAAAACACCGGATCGTAAAACAAGTGAACAGGGGTGTAGTTTGGTAGCCGTGCGTTTGGCAACTAAGTAGGCGTACGAAAAACGCGAACTATAACTGGTACACGAATATTATTGAAAAATAGGTAACACACACAGCTTACCATGTCAAATATTAAGCGTAGGGACTTAATGCATACAGATTTTTCAGCAAATTTACTTGAGATAAAAAAATAGAGTTTAACGAACTTAATTCTGGAAATATTGTCCATTGTTTTCAATGACCCTGTTGAGGACCTTTTACCGCGAGGCTAACCCAGAAAGACAATAAGTCCAGAGATGGTAGGCACGACCGTTTACTAGATCGCTCAACCACGTTGT